CCCAGAGACCCAAAGTTTCAGCATAATCAACCCCTTTCACAAGGTGGACCACTTTTCTGTAAAATTATTTATTCATGTAATGCACTTGGGTGTGCTGATTCTATTTATATTTTGAATTGTTATTGGGGGAAGAGGATAGTTCCCCTTATTTTGGGTTTCAGCATCCTATCTCTTCTTTTTTTTCTCTTTTATTGCTTATTAGTCGATTATTGAGGTGTGCAAGATTCCAGTTCCTAATCCATTTTGAGATTGCCTCGGTAGGTATGCAGGCCTGCTGAATTAAGTACAAGGATCTCAACACTGTTGAGCCCTGACTCAAATGTCTTGCCGATTTACCTCTGCAACATCTATCAAAAATGTAAACATCAGTTTTCAGTGGGCTTCCTTTTTAAATATCTCAGTATCTAGAAAGCTACATGAAAAACTATACCGTTTAAACTATATTTATGGTGTATCACTTAATACATGATATAACTAACTTGGTGTTCTCATTTCTGTGTTGATATCTTACAATGACATACACAAACCTGTATATAACACTTTATAACATTAAATATTTACATGATTATCTTACAGGAGCAAGAAAGAGACTGCATGTTAGAGAGGGCATGCTATGAGCTTTAACAGCTTCCCGGAGTTAGTCATCAGCTGATCCTAATGGAAAGTCACAACACTTGCATACAGGACATGGAACCTAGAATTAAATTCCACTGTGTTGTGGTAAGCTCTGGTCATAATGTCCAAGTATGCACAAGGTACTTGTGCAAACTTACCTCTTAGTGTACCCTCCTCCAGCGGTAACAGGTCCAGCTTACAGTTGCCGCTCTCTCTGATGCTAACTTCACAACCAGGTTTTACGGGTCCTGCAATAATCTTGTTTGATCACTGGGTGGACACTGGCCATGTAACTCCTGAGTATGTGATCGTCCTCAGCACATGGCTTAATTCTTGGAATGCCCATGATGAACCGGGATGTACTCTGCACAGCGTAAGCCAAGAGAAAAATGTCAGCACCCGGCCTCTTGGCATGCCGATGATGAGTTGGGATGTACTCTGTACACCGAACGCCAAAGGAAAAATTGCTAGGCACATGGATCAAAGATTTTTTTGTTGGTAAAGCCAAGAGTTGGCTTTATCTCATTTGCCAAAAAACTATAACTCCTATCAATTTTTCACAGTATTATTTTACTGAAAGAGTAGCTGATGCTTTAAACTAACTTCCAGTAGAGATAGTAAGCCCACAGTAAGTGAATTTAAGCACGCTTGGGACAAAATTAGGTATATGCTCATACAAAAAAGTTTAAAAAAACAAACAAAAAACTAAAAGAGCAGCCGATGGCCCACCTGGTCTTTTTCTACCGTCGCCCTTCTATGTTCAAAGCTGAGAGTTCACATAATTCTTTACCTCCACAACTTTTTCTGATCAAAATGTTTAAATACCGGGACAAGAAACAGATTCTTGTGGAGATATACATGGCTAGTTCTAAAGTGATGATCTTCGCAGAATATTTGCAAGGGGTAAAGAAAAAAAAAAAACGACTTCAAGGTGTTAAAAAACACTTCCAGTGATTTTAGTTTCAGTATTCCATGATATATCCGGTTAAACTATGAGTCATATCGGATGGTAAGAACCATTTTTTTTGACACTCCTTCCTCAGCCTGTGGCTAGTTAGACAGGCAAACTCAGCATCAGAATAAAACCTGTCACTTTGTCCATAAATAGTGATTTATTCAATTCAAGTGACTAAAGCGATTCAAGAATTATTCAAGTGACTTGCCTTATTTATTCACATATGCTTAATATTTATGTCAGCATAACCTAGGGTCATTGACTTTCCAAACATGTCTGTGAAGGTTTTCATTTACCAAGGTCATGGTGTAGTTAGTCACAGTCACAGTTTTGTAGTTTATCCAAATCGGTTCTTCAGTTTTTAAAGAGTGTAAGGAAAATACCCCAGCATTTATATCTGCAGAAGCAGCACAGACAACTTAATCCATCAGCATGGAAAGGCATGTTATTGTCCATGAAGTTATTGTTCATTGGGAGTTGTAAAATGTGGCGAGCCACCCTGTTCTAGTTACCTAATCCCATCCGTGGTGTTTGGCAGGCTTTATAGCTGTTTAATATACATGGCTGAAGGTGTGAACTGTTGTTAAAACGCCAGGGTAGAAATGTTAAAATGGCATTATATTTAGAAGAGAAATGGTGATGAAGGCCCCCCATTCAAGGATGCTTGTCCTGCTTGGCGTAGATAGCCTCTTTCAAACCAGCTGTCCTCTGTCCAAATGTGTACTGTACTGTAATTGAAAGAATGTCTCTTTTCCTTAAGGTGTAGGAAAACTACCTGTAGAACTTGCTGTTATACCCTGCTATTTGGGCCATTCATTTGTTGAGAGGTTATTTTGTCTCCCCAAGATTAAGCGAGTGAGCTGCCGGACCTTCAGCACAGCGATCCAGAGTCGAACTCCTTCTGCACTTCGATGTACGGCTGATTTTAGCTGATGTATAGCTGAAACCAGCCGTAGAGGGCTGAAGTTAATAGCCACTTCACTTCGGATGGGTTATCCACTCGCCTGCCTTCGGCAGCTTTGTGAATAACCCTCTAAATGTCTTTCCATATACCAAGTTACTTCTCTTGTGTTTAGATTTTGGGTCTTTTGGATGTACAAGCTTCTGTCTCGGTGTATTGCTGTCTATTATACAGACTGTATTCCTCTGTAGCCAAATCCATACTGATAAAGCCGGTAATTTCCTTTTTTTTTACTGCAAATTGTTTGATATAGAATTCATATTGGCAAACGTCTACATAACACCCACATATTCCATTGATGTTATAAAGGAAATAGCAAATGTCATAACTGAGAAATTTCCAATTCCATCTCTTGTCTCTGTGAGAGACTTTAACTACTTTAAGGACTCCTCTTTAGATACATTTGCATCCTGTACTAATGGGTGCTCTTCTCTCTCTACTACATTATACAAATACTGCTTAGGTCTGGGGTTCCGACCTGTGGCGTTTGCTACATCCTACCAATGGTGCAATTATCATAACAATCTCAAGCACAAAATACGCTGCTGTGTATAGACTTGGTGTTGGGAGAGTTGGGCAGGAGGAGGGGGATGTAAAGTAGCCAAACCATTTCCTGCTGCCACCGACGAAATGCCTAAATCCATGCCAGCAAAAGTGTGAAAGGCAATGTAAAGTCTTTAAAATTATTTTTTTTAGTTATGAATGCAAAAGAAATCAACTTGATGGAAATGTTTTCAATGTGTGTTCATGTTTTGAAATAAATAATTTCTGTGTAGTTTTAAATATGTAATTATGTGCTTCCTACTTCGCAGTCGTACATTACTGTTGTGCTTTATGGTTCCTTCTCACAATGTAAGTCCAAGGGGCTGAATTATTAAATGAGCAGATAATTTTGTTTTTGCAAAGTGAAAGATAACCTAGACTGGTGCGCATTTTAATCATCCAATTATGTGCAAGCAAAAATCCTGTTTTCTTAATTTCACATGATTGGGTATTCAAAGTGAACAAAGTTTTGACAATATTTACTAAGGTAAGTGAACCTACATTTTCTAAAGTCAACAGTATCTATGCCTTGAGTAAATCAACCTTAATGAGTTGGCTGACTCGTGAAAAAATGGCAAAGCAAAACTTTCACTTTAATGGCAGCCCAACCAGCTGCACATACCCCCCTTCACTCCCCTACAACTCTCTTCAGCCACTAAGAAGACCCTAAACTAAAGCATGATTTGGAGTTTATTCCCCACCACCACCACCATGACAGTGCTGGTTAAATGGTCATTCTGGCACCCAAGGCTATCACAAAGAAGGGTGGGGGTGAATCACATGTTCCTCCATACCTGGAGGTACCACATTTTTGTTGAGCTAAAGAAAATATGTGCTGCTGGTCTGGCCGCCTTTGAAGCAAGCCTGTGCTTTTCCCAAATCAGTGCTGTAAGTCATTGTCCTCTGTAAGAAACAGATGCAACTGGTGACTTGCACAGGGTATTGCTCTGACTTCTATTATTATTATTATTTTATAGGATTTATATAGCGCCAACAGTTTGCGCAGCGCTTTTCAATATAAGGAAGACATTACAATCACAATACAATTCAAGACAAGATGGGAAGGAGGGCCTTGCCCCTGGCTTACAATCTAAAAGGGAGGGGGAAGTGATACATGAGGAGGGAGCTGCGTGGGGATTAATTGTTTAAGAACGTGATGGTTGAGCGGTTAGGTTGAGGTGGGATAGGCTTCCCTGAAGAGGAGTCTTTAGGGACCGCCTAAAGGCAGTCAAGGTGGGCGACAGACGGACAGGTTGGGGTAAAGTATTCCAGAGGATGGGAGAGACTTCTAGTGGCTGAAAGGAGTGGTGGGGGAACATAGGAAGCAAAGTATATACATGTGTGCAGTTCTGCTTTAAGGTGAAACTGTTGCTTTGCCCTGTATGGGTAAAAGACAGATTCACAATAAAGTGGCAATAATAACGTAAAATATGTAAAATATGTGTGCTCTGAAAATACACCATACTACCCCTTTAAGGAAAACAGAACTAAGCATGCTTTCTTTATTTACCTCTTGATTGGTTTTAGAACATGCACCCATTAAAAAAACTAGGAAAAACAAATTGCTTAAAAAAAGAAGAGAGATTCAACTAAGAATTCTCCTTTTTTTTCTTATTGCAAAGGCTCTATAATAAAATAGGTATCATATTACTGTTACTTCTATTTTGTCCATCCTGTATGATGTGTAAAAAGTGCCATCCCAAAAATACACACTGGTTAAGTGTTCACATAAATCACCTAAAACAAGGGTTTATTTTCGGTAAAGAACAACACATATGTAAACCAGAATATGACTATGTAAATCCAACCAGGACACCTCAACTAGAAAAAAACCCACAAGACTATAAAGTTGTCTAACTTGCTCTAGTGCCTTAACCAGCAACCGCTCCCTGGACATGATAGAAATATACTTGCAGTCTGCTGAGAACTCATAGCTGCCACACCAAGGCAATTACCACATCCTGAACCTCCGCTGCAGTCTGCGAATTAAATTGTGCATAGACAGCCACTGTGATAACACTTCCACACAGAACTAAAGCAGTACACGGCCTGGTACATTGTGGAACAAATATCTCTAGTCTAGTTAAGCAAACCTATTATTAAAGATCCTATCATCAAGTAAAGAAACTCCACAAGAGCTACTTGACTGGCTGGTGTTTACTCACCTGCACAGCCTCTGCTCCCATGGAGAATATGAACCGGCACCCAATACCTGCAGCCCAGGCGTCAAGTGGTTTGATTTTTGACATCCTAAAATTCTTTCCTTGGAGAGATACAGGAGGTACAGAGAGATATTCAAGAGTCCACCTAAGGGGTGGGCAACATATCAAACAAATGCTAACAGGCCCAAGTGAACAACACGTTAACAGAACAGAGATAACATGACGACCTAAAGAACCTTACAACCGAAGTAAAACTTGATGAATGTGTTAACAGTGTGACAAGAGGACTAGGTGGCAGCTTTGAAAATCGGAGACACAGATAGTTGATGCTAAAAAGTCCATGAAGCACTAGATCAGTAGTAGGCAAACTCCAGGCCACCAGATGTGGTGAAGCTACAAATCCTATCATGCATCGTTCTCCGGGATTCATGCCTGTGGCTGTCAGAGTTTTGCCATGTCTAATGGGCTTTATAGTGTTCCATATCCAGACAGTTAAAGGAAACATTAGCATTTCATGGAGCAGAACAAACAGAAAGAAAAACAATGTCCTAGTTAAGGTCACAGGAAGAAATCACCTTGGCAGAAAAGAGGCCTCAAAACAATGTCTCTATATAGCACAAGAAATGGTTCTTTACAGGTTAAGGCCGCAAACCCAGAGAGTAGGGCTGCCACCTCAGAGGTAAGTGGTATTTGAAAAAGAATCGCTAGGACCAAAATATGACCCTTAATGGTACTCAAAGCCAAGTGTTGAGCAAGACCAGACTGGAGAAAAGCTAGGATTCATGCCATGGAGTATTTCTTGGGATGGAAATGTTTTACCTTGCACCATGAAAAATATGCTTTCAGAAGATCTAGATAATCTAGGAGGGCCCACCGGAGAGTCTGCCAGGAGTCTGGTGAGACTGAGTACCTGGGCCAGTTTGGAACAACGAGAATCACCAGAATGACCACCATCTCGATCCTGCAGAGCAGGTGATTAAGGAGTTGCCAAGGAGGAAGGTCATAGATCAGGTTGAACTAATCCCATGGAGTCACCAAAGCATCTACTGCGAAGGCTAGAGGAATCCTGGATCTGGAGACAAACGTCCTCAGTTTGTGGTTGAACATGGAGGCCAGATGGTCCACATCTGGCGTCACCCACCTGTAACAGAAATCTTGAAACACCCCAGGGTAAAGAGACCATCCAGGCGTTAATGACTAAGTAAATCTGCTAGCCAGTTCTCAATGCTTAGGATTTGTGCAGTGGGCAGGGGTAAAACATGAAGTTCCACCCAAACCAGAATCTGGTCGGATTCACTTTGAGCTGCGAGACTAGACTTCTGGTTTATGTAAGCCACTGATGTGGCAATGCCCGACTAAATCTTGATTGGATGAGCTTACAGTCGAGCCTTCGGTGACCAAGACTGTCCAGGACTCCTCCCCAGCCGAACAGGTATATGGTATCTGTCGAGTGAACCTTCCAGATCAGTGGGAGGAAAGATCTCACCAGGACTGGACTCATGAGCCACCAGGTCACCACAAGCCTAGTTTTGGGGGTCAGATGCATGCAACAGTCCAGAAACAGGTCTTTCTTGTTCCATGCCAGCAGAATGTGGCTGTCTGGAGTGAAAATGGGCATATGCAAGTGCTTCAAAAGAAGAAGCCACCATTAAGTCCAGGACCCTCAAGTAGCATCCGGAGAGTTTGGAGCTTTTCCTGCAGAAGGAAGACCCTAAATGGAAAAGTATCCAGGAGAAGGTCTAGGTACTCAATGGATGAGTTGGTTCCAGCGCTGATTTCTTGAGGTTCAGGATTCCCGCGAATATCTGCAGAGTCTGAACGGTTGATGGACACTGACTGGCAGAGTTCATTCATTAGGAGATCGTCCAGGTATCCAGTAAGCCCCGAGAGCATAGCAGAGGATGTACAGGGGCTGTTACCTAGGTGAAAAACCAGAGGGGCAATGGATAGACTAAAAATTGGTAATGTTAAGTGTCTACCACAAACAGCAGGAAGTGTTGATGCACTGGAAGGATGCAGAAATCAAATTAGTCATCTTTGATGTCCACAGAGGCCAGAAAGTACCCAGTATGGAAGCAAGCAATGACTGACCTGGTTAATTTCATGCAGAATTTTTGTACCCAAGAAAGGTGTTGAAACCTTTAGATTTCAAATGGGTGGCTGCCCTCTTTTGCTTTGGGAACAGTGAACAAGTTTAAGTAAAAACCCTTGAACCTTTTCTGTTCCAGAACGATGGCTGGAGCTGCGCCACAGAAGTGTGGAGGTGTGCTACTCTTTGCGGGGACTTTGGCAGGTTTGACAACATGAAGCAGGGCAGAGTGAAATTCTAGCTTGTAGCCCTGGATACCACATTCTAGGACCCAAACGTCTGAAATGTCTTGGGAATAGGTGCCTGCAAAGGTAGATAAAATAAACTTTTTTGCCCCAGTAATCCTGCCAGTAACACAATTTCTACCCTATTGTTAGAATTCTCATTTTCTCTACTGTATCTAGTGGGGAGTAGGGCTATCACTTTAGGACAAGACATGTGTTTGTACTACAGAACACCTACTTATCTCGATTACAAAGGTAGTTAGTATTCCAGAAGCACAGGAAGTTACAAGCTTAATATATTTTTTGGACAAGATCTACAGGAATTTTTTTGCATCATCGAACAGATTTAATAAAATGTTTTCAATGTATATTTAACAGGCCAAAAGGGAGCAAAAAGAGAAGATCAATGTTAGTGTTTACATATAGTTTAAGGTCTAAGAGGATTTATCTTCTTTGTACCAAACACTAATCATTTAGTGGTTATGGCCAAAATATGAAAAAGTTATTTTTTTATTTACTGATCTTCAGCAATATTACATATTACACAAAACATTTTATTACAGTGAAATAGAAACACCTTTTCAAAATCATTTGCTAGATAAACTAAGGCTAGATAGAGAAAAAAGTCTTGCACAAAGGCATTACCAGCGTGACCACTTGGGCCTATAATGGTGATTACATGACCAGGAACTACACCAATTAGCTCTTGCTTATTACTATAGGAATGCAGCTGCCTTGGGACACCATGACCACAAGTCTCAGAAGTACACTTGAGTAGTTTACGATCTAAAAGTACAGGTGATAAACATAAGTAGTGAGGGAGGTTTACTAGTGATAACTCTACAGATATAGTTTAAAATGATAAAGTAGGTAGGTAGAATCAAGAGGTAGGAAGGAGATGTTAATCAAGACACAATGGCTTATGGAATCTTCTAAAGCACACATAGTGCATATAGTATGGGTATGCCTTCAGAAAGTGCCCATTACCTGAAATTTGTCAGACAGAAATCATGTCTGTTTGGTTTTGTGGTGAAACAAAATGCTTTTTTTAAGGGTTCCTTTTCATTAGTGAGAAGCTACAAGAGGCACGGGAGCCAGAAGAACCATTCAATGTAGGACACACAAGATGTATGGTCTGCTGTGGTGGAGAGTGGGTGGTAATGTATGAAGAAAGAGCACCATACCCACAGCAGACGAGGGTGAGGAGTTATGAGTGGCTTGTGGCAGGAAGAGCTGATTCTGCAAGAACAGGACAAGCTAATATTCTATGCTAATAAGGTTTGGGGAAAGTACAAACTCTGGCAGAACGGTCAGGCTGTGTACTAAAAGCAATATGCATTATATATTTAGAATATTTGCACTACAACAATTATCCAGGCATACTAGCTTTTTAAAAGAGTAGTTAAAGAGCAATGATAATGCTTTAAGTTCAGTAACGTATTAAATTAAAATGGTAGGCACTTCAGAAAAAATATACATAGCACAGAAATTACCTTGTTTGTCGCTTGAGTTCATTTTCTAATTGCACGGTAATGGCCCTGATTCAAATTAATTTAGGGCTGCTAAAGTGGCCTTTCAACCAATTATAGTTTGTGTAACTTTGGCATGACAGAAATATGGGGGCTGCCATTGCGGTTCTCCTTCAAAAAGTGTTCATTATCTGCCCTTTATGCCTATATCAGTTGATTTAAATAAATTTAAAGCAACAGGCATGGAACAAGTATGCATATTAGGAAAGTCAGCATTACATCCTAAGCACTGCTTAACTGTTTTGGGTGAGTGACATAAAATACTGAAACAAGAGGGTCAACATGACAGCCAGGCAACGAGCAGTCCCAGAATGAAAAAATAAATAAATCAGGGACATAGTACTGAGATGGCTGATAAACATATTTTAAGTTGTCCAACAATACAGGTCTGTCCATATATTTGCAGCTTCATCCAAATGGTTCTCTGAAACACTTGTTTAGGAATGAAGAAGACAGCAAGAACGTGTAGTATGCACAGTAAATAAGAAGTTATATGAACGTTACCACTGTTATCTTCTCCATTAAGATCCTCCTGGTCTAATCCTTGTAACTGTGCTTCTTCTTCTTTCTTACTTTTTGGGTGCACAGCAACATGCAAGTCTGTCTCTGTGACTCTCTTTGAAGAGCAAACACTCAGATCTGAAAAAAAGGGGAAGAAAAAAAAAAATGTAAGTACAAGTATGAAAAGACTAAATAAAATCCTGAAAGATTCACCTTGGAAAAGAAAACCATTGTTGTGTGCACCCAGGTCAGCATAAGCATCAGCACAACCGAGAGCCTTTATATATATCCTATAGTTTTATAAAAGAATACAGATAGTAAAATTGCATTTCAGTTTCCCCTTGAATTTCAAGCTGAAAATTGAGATATAATGGTCAAAATAATGATTGAAAATAAGCATTACATCAGTTGTTTACATATAAATCATTTAGTGGCAGCTAAAGTCAAGTTTCTTACTTAGAAAGGCAATTTTTTAAATAACAAATGTACCCCTTCACTTCTCTAAGATGATATCTAGGTAATCTGGGCTTAGCAATAAATAGTGAGTGGCAGTAGCAGCAAATCTGTCATTAGGTATCCCCCGGGCATGCACAGTACCGGAACCTAAATCCCCAGCAGTCACAGAATGAACAAGCTGCAGTTTTGGGTGTGCAAGATGACAGAGAATGCACTCCCCCCCCCCACATGTCAGGAATTTGGTGATAAGAGCCTGAGCATGTGCAGGAGCAACCGATTGAAAAGATCCTGTGCATGTGCAGGCTCTCATTGCCATATTGCTGAGTTCATACAGCACTATGGGTTAGCTACAGAGACAGGGAAGTGAAGCTGTCTGACTTGAGGCTTGCTTTAGGTCTCGTTCACACCTAGGCGTATTGCATATGCGCGTCTGTCGCATTCGCGGTAAAAAAGTTGCGCGACCGTCGCGCGTTTCCGAAGGCTACTTGGCTGTATCCCAATGGAAACGCGCAACAAAACAGCCCAAAGTAGTACCTGTACCCTTTCAGGCGTGGGCCGTTTTGTAGCGCGTTAGGGACGGGCGGAAATACGACAAGGTGGGAACGAGACCATTGAATACAATAAGATTTATTTTTTTGAGCGTTTTGTAGAGCGTTCGTCGAGCGTAGAACGCGCTACAAAACGTTCAGGTGTGAAGGCTTAGGGATGCAGCAAATCCCTGGCTGCACAAACCAACTGAGCTTACTTCATTAGGATGGGGACACTTGTGGAAAGATTTCTTCTAACTTCCATGGTATAAGGATTGAAGGAAAATCTCCCGACAGAGAGACAACAAAAAACAACTGCTGTGTTTACTAACCTATCTAAAGCAAAGAAAAGAAAACATTTCTGCTTTAGATATACTGTAGAACTAAAATTCCTACAACTATGACTTCTCAATATTTATATTAAACAAATAAAATTGTTAAAGTAACATTTTTAGGGCTCGTTCACACCGATCCAGCTAGTGTCCACTATGTGCTGGCAATAGGGAGCAGTGCTTTCCTTTATTACAATGTAAAGGCACTGAAATGAGGTGAGGCATAAAAAAATTCAAAATGTGTGCATTTATTCATATCACACCACAACCCACCCTAAAGCAGCATTGTGGTGTGAACAGAGCACATAGTAAATAGGATTTTTATACTCACTATAATATCCTTTTCTCTGCATTCACTGAAGGACAAAGCCAAAAAAATGAATGCACTGATTCCATCCCAAACTTGCACCCCTTGACGAAAACATTCAAGGCCTTCAAATCCATGATTGGACGAACCCCCTCCTTCTTGGGAAATGTGGACGGGTTGGAATAAAATCCCCTGAACCTTTTGGAGGATGGAACTGGAACTATCACTTCCTGAACAAGCAGCCCCATGACTACCGAATAGAGATCCACCAGGCACAGCAGGGAGAGACTAAGATTGCAAGCAAAGAAATGCTCTGCAGGGCGAGACAAGAATTCTATTTTGTATCCTGAAGAGACTACCATGTGGACCCAGCTGTCTGAAATTACAGCCAACCACTGGTCCATTAACAAAAGAAGCCATTCCTCCACTCTGGGATCCCCGATGTGGGCAAACCTTTATGCCAAGGATGGCTTGTCCACCAGCCTGGAAGGCTTGGGCCTGTCAGGGGCGACGTGCGGTCTATGCAGCAGCTGGTTTAGCCAAATCCTGTCCGATGCTCCCTGGCCACGAAAAAATGCACTTGTGAGCCAAGAAAGAGTGTCCTCACTTCCGTTGAGTCACCTTCTTAACCTGCGGAAGAAAAGTACTCTTAC